TGTTTTACATCAGTCAGTTACATAATGGATGAATCAGCATAATGGATAAATAAGTATAAATTTGACAAAGATTATTTAAAGTCAGTTTTTTATTCATGGATTTTAATTCTTTATTTCTAGAAATGAACGTTTGTATAGTATAGTCTATTTGGTGGTGTAATGAATTTACATGTTCTGATAATGCACATGATAAAACATTTCTTCTGCAGTCACTTTTATTAGAGGTAATTCGACCTTTTAGAAGTATTGAGGTCTGTCCAATATACACTTTATCACAATCTTGAACTAAGATTCAATCTAAGGAGTAGGCAGATCGAGACCTTAGAGAGAACTCGCGACGAGACCTGGGGAGTAAGCAGATTGAGCATATATATGCATATATATGCTACAAGTTGATTGTCAGGATATCGTTTCTTTTTGTGGTGGAATTGTTCACATTGCTTTATTTTTTGAAAATCCTCACTGAACTAGGGTTTAGAATTTTCTCTTATATGTACTGATTTCTCTGAGGAACAATTTCTAAAAATTTCTAATATTTGATCATATAATTGATTTGGATCATCAAATATTTCAGTCATCATTGAGAGAATTTAGATTTTCTTCAATTCCAAGTTTGTTGAAAATAACATTTTTATTGAAGTCTAGTTTTTCCTGGAGTCATTTTTTACACATATATCAGTCATTATTAGTTTATAATCATTCAATTTATGATCCATTAATTAAATTTCACATTGTCTATTTGAATTAGTTAAAACATGGTCTATTAACGATTGTGGGGAATGTTCCTCAATTTGGGTTATTACAGCAAATGCTGAACAAAATAAAGTTGAGTTTAATTCATGAGTTTTTCAAATTCACTTCGAAAAGTATTCAAAATGATGTTTCAAATGTTGGGTTTTGATTTTTAAAGGGATTTGTTTCTAATTCACATATTGGCAACAGCGCCTATATCAAGTTGAAATAATTTATACGTACCTAGATATTCTACTTTAAAAAAGGAAAATTATCTTTATAAATCAACAATTAAGGCAAAATATAAATAATTGTTCAATACCACCTCCACAAGCCACATAAACAACAGTTGTTTTGTTATTTATTTATATAGAGGAAGATAGGTTAGGTGCACAAAATGTCATATGTCACAGAATGTCTTGGAACTCGGAACATAAGTAAACAGAACAGCACGCCTATGAAATATGTCATCTTTGTTTGTCTCATACAGGTAACAGATTCATTGTTCCTTTATTAGCTATAACCGGTGTTGCCAAATGCATTATTTCATTCCTCTTTTTTAAGTATTTAAATAATTTTTTAAAGAAAAAGGTTGAAATGATAAGTTTAAAATGCGTTGTTCAAGAGCTCTTTTATGAAAACTACTTGATTTTCGTCAGGAGGAACATTCCTCATTTGCTTTGAAAGTCTCTCGGCAGGTATTTGTTCATTGCAATTTTTACACCCGAGGTTCCTATCATCCTATTCCGTAGATGGCAACACCCACTCTAGTTTTCATCGGAACTTGCCAACGACATTAGAGAGTACTTTCCTTTTGTTTATTAGAAAACATTTTTGTTTCCGTTTCTGTTCTAGCCAGTGGAGACAAAATCCAGGACCATCAAGCCATAAACCTAAACCAATGCTACGAGCAACTTGGCGAACTCTTCTCAATGAACCACAATCTGCTGAGTGCTTTGGGTACCTCTCACATTAAACTCGATGAAGCTGTAACCATTCTAAATCAGCAAGGCCTACACGGAAAATTGACCGGTGCCGGAGGAGGAGGTTATGCCATCGCTCTAATACCGCCTGGTTTCGACGAGATCGCCCTAGATAGAGCGATAAAAGCTCTCGTCTACAACGGGTTCGGTGTGATCTCTACTGAACTGGGAGGAGAGGGCGTCAGAGTGGAATCTATTTCTTAGAATGGCGTTGACGTTTTGCCGTTTTATGAGGTTTGCCGCGGTATAGTATATTTGTTTTGAATAACCACACTACAGATTTTCATCCAGCTCGAAGGACCACATTACAGATTTTCATCGGCACTAGGCACCTTAGATATATTTCAAACCGGATACAAATTTATGGAAAAACTATATTTGTGTGATCATCTTTTAAGATCACTAATAGTCGGCACGATATTTTCGATAAGTTATGGTCTTTCGAGACAGTTGATATGTGGTCCTTCGAGCCGGAGAAACGTTGTAGCTTTCGGTACTTCACTTTGAAGAAATAAAAAATTTAACATTATAAAGGTTCATTTGATTCAAGATGTTTCAATATAGGTTAAAATAACATTCAATTCCAATTTGTACTTTTTATTTTTTGGATACTAGAAAACTAGAGTCAATAAAAATATGTTCTTTGAGCAATTGTTTTCTTTAGCGAACACTTTAATGGTTAGAAATTATACAGTAAATATCACTACCATGTACACAACTTCTAGAGGTACGCGTGAACAAACATTTGTTATAAAGTGGCCAGCTATCCACTCTCATCTGATTCTCATCAACTTTCTGTTCCTTAATAATAATATTCTACAAAAATATATCGGTTGTCTGCTCAGTAGTAATAACCCTAGTAATTCAAAAATTTCTCTAGTCAGAGTCATCAGAATCACTCTCACTACGTCTCTTTCTCCTTGAAGATGTCTTCTTCTTTGGTTTGGACCGTTTCTTTGCAGATTTTGGAGGTGGTGGTGGCATCATGCCGTTTTCGTTGAGTTCAAAGACGGATTTTATCAAATTTTCCAGTTCAGTAACGATTGGCTACAAAAAAACAAATTATTCAAAACGTAGCAAAAATAAATGTGTGCAGATTTGATAACTATGGGAGGATGATTGAAGTATATGAGAAAACAATAATTCTTGAACCAAAAAATTCAGATAATAATAATCTTTATTTCAAAAATATGCCGATTATTACAGCTTGTACACAGACAACATAGAATGAAATAATGTTAACAACAAAAAAAAAGAAAAAGAGTACATATACTCATAAATATACAGAGTGGTCCAACGAAAAGTATGCACCTTGCTTTTCTCCTTTTTTTGTAACTTAACGCAAAAATGCTCGGACAGGTCAATTTTGCTTTTGAGGGGGACACATTTTAGATGTATTTTTCTACCTGTGCCTTCAACCCCCTAGCGAGGGTGAGTAACAACCCTAAAATTTTAAATGGAAAGTGGGGTCGAGTGATATATCATTTGAAAGGGCACAAAATT